TTCGGACCCTAAGTTTGCAAAAATGCCTTGTGTATGTATAAATAATTGCCTTTTAATCATTTTTAATGGTTTTAAATGCTGCACTGCGACCACCAAATCGGCTGCAAAAGTTGACCTGCTGTCTACTTTGAGGCAAGCGATTTTTGAATCCCCATTTACATGAGCAAAGTTGAATCGCCTAGAAAATCGCCTCATGCAAATCCAGCTTTAGGTTTTATGCATACGGCCCAATATTCCAATTAAGAAGAAGGAAAAACACTGAAATATATACTGCGTTTATGCGTAGGAAAATTCACGAAATTATTTTATGAATATGGACCGCATAAACACAGTTTCATGAATTCAATTATACGCGAAAACTATCCATGAATTTTGGCATGATTTCATGAAATCGTGAAGATCAGGTCAGGCAATGCCACGTTTCACAAACAGGGTTATGATTTGTTTAGATTAAAAGGTATGAGTGGCATAACAATGATTTAGACACTGGAAAAGTTACGTGGATTTGTTGAAATATAAAGTAAATTTTAATAGAAGAACTTCAAATACATTCAAACCAATTTAAATATAACACAGAACATTTCCTGGTACCAACGGCTCTCAGTAGTTCGGATAGCAGATTTAGCTGGACGAAAGTCAAAATTTTAGTTGTTTTTAAAATATTTAATGGTACTTGGAATACATTCCTGACAATACATTTAAATAGAAATTGCATTTATTAAAGCATTAAACATATGGAAACAAAGAAAAAGTAAGTCAACACCGTCTATTTGAGAACTCTATTTAAAAAACTGAAATTTAACTTAAAAGATTGCTAATCGCACTAACAAATAGTTGCATAATTGCAAACTCACTTTATAAACTAAAAATTACACTTATTTCGCTATAGATTCAGAGGTCATAACGCAATTTATGTCCGCATTGGCATAAGCAAATTTATACTGAAAATACATCGTTTTGATTGGTTAAAAAATAAAGTAAAGAGTAGGGAAAGGAAAGGCCGCTGAAAGCCGTTATAAAACCATTAGCATATTATTCTGTACACCTTCGGAAATGCATAGGTTAAGTTCGATAACCATGTCTAACCAATTGGCTTAGATTAGGGCTGCCAGACGTCCCGGTGTTCCACGGTTTGTCCTGATTTAGACAAATTGTCCTGGTGTCCTGATCCCCACTTAAATTGTCCTGGTTTTTTAATGAAGGTCAATGCAGACACTTCTCTAATTTTTAGCAGATTTTGCTATGAAAAAAAAGGTTAAGCTTTCTATCAAATTGATAACGAAACGATTTTTCTAACATGTTGAATATCTGGTAAGTTTACCTTCTTTCGGTTTAGTTTATTTGGTTAAAATCTAGATTTTTTCAGGCAAATGCCAAAAAAGTGCAAGCTCCTGATCAGGTACACGGCTGAGGGATCATACATAAGTACTACCCAGAAGGTAATTTCAGGAGCTAAAATCTCATCCAAAAGGCCTATCTTTCCATTCTCCTTAATTTTTTGTATGGAGGGGCACAAATTGAAGGGCTTCTGCTTTCGCTACTCAAAAAAAAGGCCTTCAGAAGGGCTTTTGTTGGACGCCTTTTGAAGAAGTTCCTTTAAAGTTTTTCTTAATTCATAAAAATCGTATTTCTTTAAGGCCTTGCGACGTATACTACAGCTGCCATGTAAAGGAGCGCAAATTCGGTGTTGGATTTGTGGTGGGAGAGAGACTCCGTCGCCGAGTACTGTTGTTCACGCCGGTGGACGAGCGTCTAGCCATAATCCGCATCAAAACTAGATTCTTCAACATCTCGCTTATCTGCACCCATGCCGCGACAGAAGAGAAGGATGAGGTATCCAAGGATCTCTTCTAGGACCGCTTGGAACANCAACTGCGAAAATAATTACAATTATAATTTATTTAGATGCATATTTTATCAAAATCGTGCTTGGCGACTTCAATGCCAGGGTGGGCAAGAAAGAGATCTTTGGAACCACCGTCGGAAAATTCAGCCTCCACGACGAAACGTCCGACAACGGACTGAGGCTGATCGATTTCGCCGGGGCCCGAAACATGGTAGTATGCAGTAATAGGTTCAAGCATAAAAAGATTCATCAAGCTACGTGGCTGTCTCCGGATCGAAAAACCAGAAGCCAAATCGACCATGTTGTGATAGACAGAAGGCATGCTTCCAGTATTTTGGACGTACGTACACTCCGAGGGCCAAACATCGACTCGGACCACTATCTTGTTGCAGCCAAGATACGCACCCGCCTTTGTGCAGCAAAAAATGTGCGCCCGAATATGCAAGGAAAGCTTAACGTCGAAAACCTGCAATCACAACAGACAGCCAATGCATTCGCTACTCGACTCTTACACCTGCTCTCAGAGAGCGCTGTTCAACAAACTGACATATGCGAGCAGTGGAACCATATTTCCCACTCATTAAGTACCGCCGCCGAAGAAGTAGTCGGATTTCAGCGGGCCCGAAAGAACAACTGTTACGTTGAGGAGTGTCAGGAAGCTGCAGAGAAAAAAGATGCCGCCTACAGGGCCACGCTGCGATCGGGCCCAACGCGCGCTATGTGGGACCGCTATAGGGATCTGAAGAAGGAAGCGCGACGCATTTGCCGCAATAAGAAGAGAGAGGCCGAAATATGTGAGTGCGAAGAGCTTGAAATGCTGGGTGACAGGAANGCGATCGGGCCCAACGCGCGCTATGTGGGACCGCTATAGGGATCTGAAGAAGGAAGCGCGACGCATTTGCCGCAATAAGAAGAGAGAGGCCGAAATATGTGAGTGCGAAGAGCTTGAAATGCTGGGTGACAGGAAGTGTTGAAGCAGGTTACTAATCTACGAAACTGAATACCTAAAATGAAATGTAAATAAATGACATGTAATTAAAAATGAATTTAAATAGAGAAATAATTATATATACTTACCTAAATGCCTAAATAAGATTTACCTTATACTTACCTTACATTTTACTATTACTTACCTTATACTTACCTTATAATTACTTTCTACTTACCTTGTTTTCCCTTTAAATGAAATTCGAGTTTACTTACCAATTTACTTACCTTTAGTTTTTAGCACCACCCTAATGTAAGTAAATGCATGGTTACAGTATTCTAAGGTACCTATGTGCATGCGGTATGTGTATGCCTACTGCAAGCACGGCTTTGTCCACGCTCTCTGGTACACATGCACACATACGTATGTTCATAGGTGCAGGCGAAGAGCTTACCGTTTTAATGTTGGAATTTGGAAGTTTAGGTAACTGCAAATTAGAAGAAATATTATAAAAGGAAGAAAATGAGAAATTAAAATGACAGTCTATGAGTAATCGATGCAATCGGCGGTGTTTTCCTTTTATGCGGATATTTAAGCGACAGGCAATATTTTAAACAGTTAATTTGTGCTCCCCTAAATAAAAAATTACACTTAGTGAAAGTGAAGCTTTATTGCTAAAAAACATTAGCAATTTTTCATGGCGCCCGAGCAGGGACATAGTGCAAATTAAAAATTAAATACATTATTAAAACTTATTAAAAAGTGCAAGTGAGTGCTTATATAAAAAACTAAAAGTTACTTTTCAAAAAAAATTTTGAAAAAGGTTAAGTTCAAAAATTAAAATTAAACTGCAATTGTATTAAAATACAATCAAATAAATATTTTATGATATAAATACATATATCAAAAAACAACAAAGATTTAAGTAAATTTATTGAAACAATTAATTGCCTGTCGCGGTCGTGTGTGCAAAAACAAAATACATACATAAATTGATAGTGCAGTGCAGTGGCTGAAAATAAACAAAAGCTTAAAATTTTAAAGTACCTGTTTTAAAAAATTGTTGAAACAAACCAAATAAAAAAGATTATAGATTGATCTAAAAGTTTAAAAATAATACAATAAATAAAACAGTGTTTAAAACTAAAATTAAAAAATACATAAAAGAGAGTTATTAAGTTTTTTAATAATAGTGCAAATAGCAAAATTTACCTGCGCTCCTAGCTACACACCAAGCGTTCGTATATACAGTGGCGCACAAAACTATAGCAGTGTGAAACCTGAAAATAAAAAATTAAATTATTTGAATAAAGAGGTACTTACCCAAAATACTTAAAAAAAAATAATTAAAAAATTTAAAGAGGTTAACTTACCCACAAGTGCGTTACTCAATATATTTTTAAAACAAGCAAAAGTTTGATACTTACTCGCAAAAGGCGCTAAGTACAAAAAAAAACAATTTGCGCTAGAAACTGTGCTGCACACACACACACACACATACACACAAATACTGCTGCTGATTAGCCAGTGCCGTTTTCTGCTCAATATCGTTGCTGTAATTAAGGATTGTACAAAGTTTTCGCCAAGGAATGAAGTGCAGCTGTTTACTGTGCAAAAGGGAAGTTGAAGCTGGAAACGACCCAGTCCATACAGAACAGGTATTGAGTGCTAACAATTAAAAGCTGTTGAGGTTGTTGTTTTTTGTTAAATTGCTGCAAAGATCACCCAACAAGCTTTAATTTTTGGCATCTCTTGTATTCACTTTGAAATTAAATTGTTTGTTTATACAAATTTCGTGAAACAAGATTTCGGGATTGTTTAGTGAAAACTACCTCGTACAATTTCCGACAAGGCTCCGATTACCAAAACTGTCAAATATTTTTCGAAAGCTATACTGCTTTAATTGTTTGGGAAAATCGTTGACCATATTTTTTGCTCACGGTTAGGTCTTAAAAAACTTTCGACATCGCGTCTAGTTTTCCCAATTAAGGGATTATAAGCTTTTATCTCTTGATTTGCGCCTTTTTTTCGATAGTTCTGGTGAAGTTTCAGCGATTTTTTTTCGTTTTCGTATTGCCACGTTGAAAACTTCCAGACTATAATTTTGTACAAAGTTACTGTGCATAGCGAATCAAGATGAGTAAAAGTGAGAGTCAGCCAGGCCAGGTGGAAGACGCTACTTCCTTAAAAAGACAAAGGACAATTTTAAAAAGAAGCATAGCTAGAATGAAAACGGGAATTCATGATAAGTCACTCTCATCAGATCCGTCGGAAGTTGAGTGTCGACTCGAAATGCTGAATAGTTACAGCGAAAAGCTTCTAGCGTGTCAGTCCGAAATAGAAGAGATCGATGAAGATGATGACACCCGTGACAGCCTTGAAGATTTAATTGTTGGAACCAAGGCAATGTTAAAATCCATATTATCAGAGAACAACAAGCACAAAGCTTCTGACACCTCCTTCACAGCGCCTCACAGCTCAAGACTTCCGAAAATGTCGCTGCCCAAGTTTCGAGGGCAGTATTCGGAGTTTAAAAATTTCATGAGTTTGTTTGAGAGCCTCGTTCATAACAACCCTGCGCTTTCAGACATTGAAAAATTCACACATTTAGTTTCGTGTTTGTCTGGTGAAGCCTTGGGAACGGTGAAGGCCTTCCAAATGACGGAAGAAAATTACCCGAAGGCGTTGGCAAGCCTGAAAAAGGTATATGATAATAAATGTCTCATATTTTCGAATACAGTTGCGAAACTGTTTGAGTTGCCGAAAATACAAAAGGCATCGTCGCTTTCGCTGCGGTCAATGATCGACACCGTATCAGCTGTATATGACTCCTTGTTGTCTTTGGGTGATGATAAAAATATTTCAAATGCGATGTTGATACATTTGGTAATGTCGAAGGTTGATCCCACTACGCGGTCAAAATGGGAGGAGCAACTTGACTACGACAAGCTTCCGCTGTGGAGTGAGTGTGAAGCGGCTCTCAATAAGAGATACCAGCACCTCTCATCTGAAGAAGCGTCGACATCGTCAAAATCGCACGACACCCAAAGGCAAAGCAACAAGAGTGCTGAAAAGCCAAAATCTTCTTTTGTGGCTGCGAAAGCTAAGCCAACTACTTGTTTCCACTGCAACTCCAAAGACCACTTTCTAACCACCTGCCCTAAATTTAAAACTCTCTCTCCTCAGCAGAGATTCGAATTCGCGAAATCGGTCCCATTGTGTATAAATTGCTTACGCAAGGGACATACGGTTTCTAAATGCAAATTAGAACGGTGTCGAGTTTGTAACCGGTCACATCACACCATGTTACACCAATACCCGATATCGTTCGAAACAACACCACAACCTTCGACCTCACAAACTATGCACACAGTGAGCGTGCCTGATCGCGTCATGTTAGCGACAGCGGTGGTCAAGGTAAAAACTTGCTCCGGTGATTATGTGTCAGCTCGTGCGTTACTTGACTCAGGGTCTCAAGTAAATTTCATGACTGAAGAGCTGGCACAAAGGCTGCGAATTCGGCGAGAGAAGGCGACATTAAATGTCATCGGGATTGGTAATGCCACCCAAAAGGTTCGGTCAAAAGTTAGTGCAGTCATAAAATCCCGAGTTAACAACTTCGAGTTTCTCGCAGATTTTTGGGTAATGGGAGCGATTTCGGCAAATCACCCAGATCGGGCTGTTGACACCACAGGTTGGAAAATTCCAGCTAATATTGAATTAGCTGATCCGGGGTTCTATAAGTCCTCAAAGGTCGATCTTTTGTTGGGAGCCGAAACATTTTTCGATCTTCTGTCGGTTGGTCAAATTAAAACTGATCCAAGGTTCCCAACACTGCAAAAAACACTTTTGGGTTGGGTTATTTCAGGCAAATACGTCTCCCACCAAAGTGAGCATTCTCAAGCTAGCAGTGCCTTATGCAAAGCTGAAGATGATTCTGAAGCAATTGATGAAATTGTCCAAAGATTCTGGGCAATGGAAGAAATCCCTTCAGAATCACAAGCTACAAAGTTCACTGCCGAACAAAGGGAATGCGAGGAATACTTCGTTAAGACTACTGAAGTCTTACCGTCGGGACGGCTTCAAGTAAGATTGCCGTTCAAAACTGACCAAAATGCGTTGGGTCAGTCATTTGAAACCGCAGCTCGGCGGTTTCAGGCGCTGGAGAGACGTACGTTGAAAGATCCAGAACTTCGTCAAATGTATCTGGACTTCATGGAAGAGTACTTGGCATTGGGCCACATGAGCCCCACTGATAATAAAATCCCGAGTGAAGCCCACTATTTCATTCCGCATCAGTGTGTCTTAAGACCACAAAGTACGTCGACGAAACTCCGCGTTGTTTTCGATGCGTCGAGTCGGACGTCAACACAAATTGCGTTGAATGACATTTTGATGGTTGGACCGACCATTCAAGAAGAACTTTTTTCGACGCTACTTCGCTTTCGAATGCATAAGTATGCTATTACGGCGGACATCACTAAGATGTATCGCCAAGTTCTTGTAAATGAAAATGATAGAAATTTTCAATTAATAGTGTGGAGAAAGCATCCATCCGAGCCTCTGCAAATTTTTCGTTTAAACACCGTGACCTATGGCACTGCGCCAGCTCCATTTCTCGCAACACGGTGTTTGCAGATGCTAAGTGATGTGAATGCACAAAAATATCCACTCGGTGCCAAAGTAATAAGTACCGATTTTTACGTTGATGATCTGTTAACCGGATCTGAAGATTTTGAATCCCTCGACAGAGTTCGCTGTGAGGTAACTGACATTCTAAAGTCGGCAGGATTCCAGCTAGCTAAGTGGTTCTCTAACCACCCAAGTTTTTTCGATAGTCAGAGTCTGGAAAAATCGTTAAGTTTCAACGATTCAGACTCCACTAAAACGCTGGGAATCCACTGGTCGCCAAAAGACGACTTATTTCGGTTTAGACTGGATGATACATTTGATGAGTTACGAGCTACAAAACGAAATATTTTATCGGTATCTGCCCGACTCTTTGATCCTCTTGGTTTGCTGGCCCCACTAGTGACCTCAGCTAAAATCTTATTGCAAGAGCTGTGTATTAAGAAACTAGATTGGGATGAGTCGATTCCGTTGTATCTCAACAGCAGTTGGCAGAATTTTAAAGCGAATTTGTTGCAGTTGCCTTCAATCAGCATTCCTCGGTTCGTTTATACTGAGTCGAGTGCTAATTGTCAAATACACGGCTTCGCCGACGCCTCAATAAGGGCTTATGGTTGTTGTATTTACATTCGAAGCCAATTCGCTAATGATGTTAAATGCATTCTGCTAACTGCAAAATCCAGGGTTGCTCCGCTGAAGACTAAGTCTCTTCCTCGTTTAGAGCTCCTGGCAGCGCATCTTTTGGCCAAGTTATGGTCACGCATTGCGCCAATGTTGAATCGACCTATTGACAGCATAACATTCTGGACAGACTCCGAAATAGTTTTGCATTGGATAAAAACACATCCATCAACGTTGCAAACTTTCGTTGCAAATAGAGTGTCCGAGATTCAAGAGTTGACTCAAAGTGCTTCGTGGCGGCATGTGCCAACTAAACAAAATCCTTCGGATCAAGTGTCTCGAGGTTGTAGCGTGGATGAAATACAGAACTCAATATGGTTTTCTGGCCCACAGTTCCTCTTAGAAGACCCCGCAAGTTGGCCAATAAATACCCATTTCGAATTAACGCCTGAAGAACAAGCACTGGAAAAGAAGAAAAACGCCAGCGCCTTAATAGCAGTGAGTGACAACCGTAATCCACTCTTAACTGTGATTGAAAAATATTCCTCGCACAAAAAATTATTACGAGTTTTTGCCTATATTCTGCGATGGGTCTTAAAGGTGAGAGATCGATCCACCAAATATGATCCAACACCATCGGCACAAGAGTTGCAATTAAGCTTCTTAAAAATTGTTCAAATACTCCAATTTGATGAATATAGCCAAGAAATTACCAAATTGTCAAAAAATCTTCCACTACCGTCGAGCTTACAAAATTTGAATCCATTTTTGCATGAGTATTCAGAAAAGTCCTTGTCGTTGAAATTGTTACGAGTAGGCGGTCGTTTATTAAATGCGCCTATCCNGAAACTGAATACCTAAAATGAAATGTAAATAAATGACATGTAATTAAAAATGAATTTAAATAGAGAAATAATTATATATACTTACCTAAATGCCTAAATAAGATTTACCTTATACTTACCTTACATTTTACTATTACTTACCTTATACTTACCTTATAATTACTTTCTACTTACCTTGTTTTCCCTTTAAATGAAATTCGAGTTTACTTACCAATTTACTTACCTTTAGTTTTTAGCACCACCCTAATGTAAGTAAATGCATGGTTACAGTATTCTAATGTACCTATGTGCATGCGGTGTGTGTATGCCTACTGCAAGCACGGCTTTGTCCACGCTCTCTGGTACACATGCACACATACGTATGTTCATAGGTGCAGGCGAAGAGCTTACCGTTTTAATGTTGGAATTTGGAAGTTTAGGTAACTGCAAATTAGATGTAAGAAGAAATATTATAAAAGGACGAAAATGAGAAATTAAAATGACAGTCTATGAGTAATCGATGCAATCGGCGGTGTTTTCCTTTTATGCGGATATTTAAGCGACAGGCAATATTTTAAACAGTTAATTTGTGCTCCCCTAAATAAAAAATTACACTTAGTGAAAGTGAAGCTTTATTGCTAAAAAACATTAGCAATTTTTCAAATGCCCGAAAATTTTACCAGAGTTAGGCGACTTATGGAAGGTTTCAAGACCAGGGCGTACTCCTGTAAGAAAAACAATGGCGACCTAGTTACCGATGTTCACAACGTACTTAAATTATGGAGGGAACACTTTTCCACGCTACTGAATGGTAGTAGCACGGAAAGTTGTGGAGAAGAAGAACCCGAGCCCCCAGTCGACGATGACGAATTCGATGTTCCTCCGCCTGACCATGACGAGTTACGAATAGCAATAACGTGGCTGAAAAACAACAAAGCTGCTGGGGCTGGCAGCCTGTCAGCTGAGCTATTCAAGTACGGTGGCGAGGAGTTGTAAGGTGCATGTATCAAGTCTTATGCAGAATATGGTCAGATGAACGCATGCCCGACGACTGGAATTTAAGTGTGCTCTGCCTAATTCACAAGAAAGGCGACCCCGCCATTCGCGCCAACTACCACGGGATCAGCCTTCTAAGCATAGGATACAAGGTCTTGTCTAACGTTTTGTGTGAAAGACTGAAGCCCACCGTCAATGAACTGATTGAACCTTATCAGTGTGGCTTTAGGCCTGGAAAATCCACCATTGACCAGGTATTCGCAATACGCCAAATCCTGGAAAAGACCCACGAGAAAAGAATCAACTATTTGTCGACTTTAAAGCCGCTTTCGACAGCACATAAAGGAGTTGCCTATACGCCGCTATGTCTGAATTTGGCATCCCCTCAAAACTCATACGGCTGTGTAAAATGACGTTGAGCAATACCACCAGCTCCGTCAGAATTGGAAAAGACCTCTCCGAGCCGTTCGCCACCAAACGGGGCTTCAGACAGGGCGACTCTCTTTCATGTGACTTCTTTAATCTGTAATTGTAGAAGATACAGCAGAACTGAACTGCTCAGGAACAATTTACTACAAGAGCGTGCAGTTGCTGGCTTATGCCGATAACTTCGATATCATCGGTAACAAAAACCGCGAAGTCTGTTCTGCCTTTTCCAAGTTGGATAGGGAAGCAAAGCGCATGGGTCTGGTGGTAAACGAGGACAAGACGAAGTATCTCCTGTCATCAAACAAACAGTCAGCACATTCGCTCTTTGGCACCCAGGTTCCTGTTGACAGTTGTAATTTCGAGAAAGTAGGGAATTTCGTTTACTTGGGAACCAGCATTAATACCGATAATAGGCCCCTATTGCGAGTGTCGACTGGCAGTAGAATAGAAATTTGTCGATCGAGTCGATCATCTTTTATTTTGCTATTGTGTAACTTGATCGATAAAAATTTGTACTATTGTGAATGGTTGACAGAATTGTAAACAGCTGTTTGTTTGTTTACATTTGTTTCTTTAGTGTTTTATTTACATCATTTTTAAAATAATTGCTTTTATTATAAAATTAAAAAAATGGACACAGTTGAAATATGGTTTAGTGATGAGGAAGATGATGCGGAAGCTAATAGATTAGTAGAGTTGGCTAAAGCAAGGAGGGAATTGCGAGATTCGTCGAATCCCTTGGACTTGGAAGGTGTATGTACATGTGTGAGTTTTATGAATAGAAGTTGCGTTCCCGATGCTTCACGGTTTT